GCAAGTCGTAGAATAACAATTATGGGCCGTTTATAAAAAATAAATAAATTTGATCGATTACAAATAATTGTAACTATATATTGTATATAAAATTTATATTTCTTAAATCTTATACTGTCAATTTTTATTATTTTCTTTATCCAAATGGTTTTCAAAATTTTAAACTATGATTATGATATTTCCAATAAGTATTTCCAATAAGTATTCGATCAAAGTTTTTAAAAATAATTGTTTGTTATTTTAGTTTAACCCTTTTTCTTATCTTTCTAGACATTTATTCCAAAATAAAATAATTTGTCTCTAAGATATTCGCATCTAGTACTTGTATAATTCCAGTAATACGATCGTAATAGTAACGATGATGTTTTGCCATTTCAATGGCTATTCCATTCGGTGGCGGCAATCGATGGCCGCAGAACCGCGCTAATTAGAGCGGCCGCGGTACGGGCCATCCATTCGTAACGCGATATGGATAACTATCTAGCAGCCAACGGTGACGTGAGGTTTGAGGTGCGGTGGGTGGCGATGCCGGTTCGGGCACGGGGTACATCGTGCAATACGCGGGCCCTGACACGTGCACACATCCCGCTTATAGCGTGCTAGTTAAATTTCGATACGCCGTTACGCGCGGCACGGGATAGATGAAACATGGTGTTGTCGTAGCGTCGCCGCGCGCGGGCATAACGCGCGACAAATATTCCGCAAATAAAAGCTCGCATCATCCTCCCCCTTCGTTGTCCCGCGCCCTCGTCCCCCGATCATTCCTATTCCCCACGTTATTTACAGAATGTCGCGCGGGGGTGGTCCGCGCGGCCGCCGGCAATTTTTAACAAGTCGAGCCGTGTACCGACGATGGCCTCCATCGAGCATGCTGTGGGGGAGGGGGTGGTAGCGGCAGGGGCACATTCAATGTATTCGACGCGCGTTTTATTTCGTGCCACACGCGCGCCCATATATGCGCCCTCTCTCTTCCTCGCTCTTTTTTTTACGTTTTCCCTTTTTTGTGCTTGTTTTACGCTACCGCTCGATTTTTTTCGCCTTTTTTGGTCGACGCTGGATTGCTCGGCAACTACCAATCAGGATCATCTGACAGGAAATACCCCGCGCACCCGTCACCGTTCGCCACTTGTGTCCGCGGCGTCCCCGTCGCCACTCCGCCTCTCATTTCTGCTACCCTTCCTCCCTCCGTCCCGGGGTATCCACCGCCGCCATCGCCATACGTTCACTGACCAATTTGTTCGATAAAAGCCCTCGACTGATTGGCCTGACAACGTGGCCACGGCTCTTTTTTCCGAGCGCGAAATTTACCGTGGTAACCAGACCCCTTGTTGCACCCCCAACCTCCCTCAAGCCTTTGCCTTTTACCTTCCAAATTTCTCCGCCGCCACTTAGTACCATCTTTCCTTTTTACCTTCGTCTTTTCCTTCTTCGGATTTCTCAGACAGTTTCTGTGATTCGTGGCAAGGTTTGCGAATTAGTTGGCAAGCGATGCAGTTCGTTGATCTCGTGAATAAAGGTTTTGTGGACAAACGCGGATGAAAGGATGCACCTTTCCCATTTTGCAGAATGAATTACGAAAGTTTAATTAAAAACTGACGAAACTTATTTGATGAAAAATTATTCAAGATAGTTTGTGCAAAAGTTTTCGAGAAATTTTAATGAAAGATAGCTGACTCTCTTAAAAGAAATTTATTTCCTATAATAAAGTTATCTTTTTATAATAGAAAAGGAATATAATTATTAAGTATGTAATTATTAAGTATAATTTTCGACCCATGTAAAATTGAAAATGACTAAGAAAGGATAAAAACCGTCAATTTTTGCTGCCAAACGTACAAGCGCTTGCGAACCAGGAGCACACAAATAATCGTGGATCTTGAAATATAAATTGAATTACTCCTTTTTAGAGCCAAATGATATTTGGCTCTAAATCCGATTGCACAATCTTCCTGAGGTGCACATCGACTAACGCTGATGCCGACGGTATGAATGGAACTGACATCAAAGGTCAATTATAATTGTATTCAATTGACAATTAAATTGTCATTAATGGACTGGGATTTATATCTCTAGTTTAAGCGTATGAGATTGACGTATCTGTTTTCAGTCTATGATTTATGAGTTTGAAGTTTAGAAATTCACGATTCTAGTTCTAAAAAGCTAATTTTTATACGTTTGTTTTTTTCTCTATTTCAATCATAATCAAATGTTATATATTTGATGTTTTATATATATGTCATATATAACATTTTGAAAATTAAAACATTAAAAATGATCATTATGTGTCTCATATTTATGGCAAAAATGCTTTGCTTATTTACTCAATTCATTCACATTTTTACATATGTTTTCTTCATGTTTATGGGAAACTGATTTCCAACGTGATTCTGCAATTTAACTATAAAAAAACTATAAAAAAACGAATACATTTCACTTCTCGATTGCGAGCAAAAAATGACGACTTTATCCATCTTGAACAATGATTGATCTCTTATGTTTTTACATTAATTATTTTAAAAATAATTTTAAGGATATAGTTCGAAGATAGTTGCAAATGTCACCGTTATCGAGATCATAAAATTTGTGTAGTCGGCCAATATGGTCTGGTGGAGCGGTACATTAGACACGTAAACATGTACTATCTGCTCATCGCAGCGGCAATCTGTCTTTCGACGTTGCCTCTCACTTTCGAGTTAATAGCTGGTAATAGCCGTCGAGAGCTAACATAACACAACCTCCCACGCATGAGTTACCATCAATCGACGATATCGTTTGACGATTCACTCACCCATGCAAGGAATTTCGATTTTGCGCAATACGCGTCTCCCTTGATCCCGCGAATTTTCTGACGAGGAAGTTTAATTTTTTCCTTTTTTCTTTCATAAAAATTTGACTGCAAGTATCATGTATGCTCGACATTTTCGTTGATTACTAAGCGTCGAATTAAATTCTCATTAAAGTAAATTTTAATAAAAATTTATAGAAAAATAAGATTTCATTATTTATTTGTAATTTTATTTGTTTGTGAAATGTATTGTAATTGCAAATGTTATTTATTATTATATTATATAACAAATATTTTTAATATATTATATATATTATATAACAAGTTATTATATAACAAGAAAATAGATTCTTAAATATCGTTATAAGTTTTTATTAATTAATTTTAAATTTAATTTTAAACATTCTGAAGGATGTATTAAGTATATCTGCCAAAAGTGACTGGAATTGTGAATTGGAAATTTATATTCTCCATAAAAACTATAATAAAATCCAAAAATTATTATGATATATATACATAAAATTATTCAGTAAAGTGTTAATAATTAATAGATTTAACAATATAATTTTATAATTTAAATTATCTTTTATCTCACTTATTTTTTAAAAACATGTCTTCTTATAGAAATAATTTTTTATCTACATTTTAAATTGCCATAAACTTTTTGTATTACTTTCAATACAATATAGCAAAATTTAGTTTTTTCATAACTTTTTTAAAAAATGTAACACATTCTTAATAAAAGAACTCGCACGCGTCTATTCTTGCGCTATCTCGCGCGCTATTTGTTACAGATCCGTAGTCGGCGATAAAGTCGCAATCAACGTGTTTTTTTTCTGGGATTGGCACTGCCATCATCATCACTGTCGGCTTAGGAAAGAGCGATTTATGAGGATCGTTATCGACTTTAACGACTGTTATCGGCAATCCTCGATTTTCTCGCAAATTATTATCGAATCATTAATTTATCAAGCATTGAAACAGGATTAATGATTTTAACATGAAGGTCAAATCGTCTGTTGCAATAGTTGCACTTTCCAATTATGCTTGTAATTATTCTAGATTATAATAAAAATCATGCGATTTGGAAATTGGATTCAGAAATTCCCCTTTTGAAAATTAAATATATATCTTTTTCATATTTACTGTAAATAATATATAATGCTTAAAGCATAAATCGAGAAAAGAGAAATTGTATTTATTTATCTTAAGATAAAACTCTTATAGAAGTTTTTTAAATAAAATTCTTAAAATTACTTCATTATGATATTTTTATCAAATAATGAAATTTAAAATTCTCTGCCTTATCATGATAATTAAATATTATTTAAGATATATGATTTATTATTATTGATTTATCGTTATTTTTTACTTTCTTTTTATTGAGTTGTCCGGAAAGTTCGTGCCGATTTTGAAGGAAAATTGAAACGTAGAAGATTTAAATTTTTAATTTCATTTATTATATTTAAATCTTTTGCGGCACGAACTTTCCGGACGACCCAATACTATTGTATAACTTAAACACTCATATGAATGATATCTTATCATAAAATAGCGGATTTCAATTTACGTTGTTTTTTATAGCGATGATAATTATTGCGATTTTCATCAGATATCATGCGATTAATTACTTGTATTGTTCTTCGGTGCGGCGATCATTATGATATTTAATTAATTACAAGCATCAGCATTTCGATAAATTCTCTTTGATGGATATTATTTATGTTTTTGTTAATGATGCAATTTAAAGTATTATTAATTTGAATAATACTTTATATACTTTATTATCAATTAAATTTGTAATTCACTCACAAATATATATATATATAT